ATTTCTCCAAAATTATGAATAATATTTAAGAATGCAATGAGGTAAGGCAGATTCCATCACTAAACAAATGAACACGAGTGTGTATGAACTAGAGAAAAGAATGAAGGATGGAGTAAGTAAACACACTCCATTTTTAATGATTCAAAGTTTGAGACCTCCAGTTTAAGGAAAGTCAAAACAAGAATACAAGATTATCGCAATAAAGGCAACAAATCCAACTAATTAATGGATTACATAACAAATGGGAACGGATTTTTTTTTTTTTCCTTCTTCCAGTAGATGGGGAAGATGGATCTATATGTTCCAACTCCACTGCAATACGAGACATTTTAGAATTCCTCAAAAGGCATATATATAATAGCACACAAAATCACTAAAATTTACCGGTACCTGTAAAGCTTGGAGTGCAAGTCTAGATCAGGTCTCCACCACTGGTGAATGCCATGAGCATTCTTGAAATCCTCGGTAGGAGTTTGATTAACTGTCAGATTTGCTGAAGGTATCAGGTGGAAAGGCTCTTCAGCTTCTGAACCCTTCCCCACAGCACTCATTAGTAGACCTCCCAATGAATGTTGTGTTGCTAGCTTCTCAATATGTCCAGCTCCAATCTCCTCCATCTTTTTCCTATGCTCAAAATAACCAATATATTCAGAGCATATGTGGTCGGCTGGATTGACAAATAGACAAGGCAACCATGCAGACAAAGCAGCAAATGGATCCCCAGAGACATTCCTCTGGTTCTGATTCTTTGCCTTCACAGCGAGAGCTAGTCCTGCTGTTATTACACTGCCTGCAATTCGGATCCCATGCTTCACTCTCTTATCTTTGATTCTCTCAATCGGGGCAGAAAGAAAAGGTGGATTGAAGAGGGATGATTCTAGAAATATGCCTGTTTTGGCCATAGTCTTTCCAGCTAGCATTGCCATGGCTGCCCCTAAGGAATGACCAGCTAACCAGACATTTGAATCACCAACAGCAGCTACCATATTTCGAACAGCTTGCATGCCAATCTCAAAGCGAGATGTTCGGTGGAGTCCATTTCGGATTAAGTGGACATCCAGCTCAAAGTCTCTTGAGACAGAGTCTCCTTTGGTCAATGTGCCTCGGAAAGCAATTACATAATGAGGGCTCTGTTCAATTGAGTCATTATAATGAGAGGTCGGAGGTTTATATTCGTAAATGGCACCAAAGATGGAAAGATCAGCATCATCTACAAGTTGACGAAGCAACTTAAAATGAAAGAACTCCCACCAAGGTGGAGCCAGAGCTTGTGAATCTTCACGCTTTTCATGGCGGTCACGCTCCACAATGTAGACACCCTGAACCAAACAGGCTGCTACAGACCTTCGATGATCTGCATTTGTCCTGGACAAGACAGTTATTTCAACAACCATTTGCTAAGACAACGGCTTCATTTGAGAACAAAGGGCTGTAGCTATAGCCATAGGGTTTTTGGTCTTCTAATATCCCAAAAATATATAAAATATATTTAATATAACTATTATTTATTTTAATTAATATTTTATACATTTTTTGGATAGTCAAAAGGCAGAAAAACCCACAGCTAAAGCAATGTACACCATTCCCAAACGAAGCCTAAAATGAGAGAATAAATATACTGTCAGGAATAAGAAGCATACTCAATAGATAGCAGCCTACTCTGTTAATTTTTATATTGGATAAGATTATCTTTAACTGTTGCCATTTTGCTCATTATAGCTGTAATTAATAAATGAAGAATAAACGAAGTGAAAAAGACTTGAACATAAGCACCACAAAACTCTTTGCAAATGAGGAAAGACTATTGGCATCAAATCTTAGAATATCATCTCGAGAAAACATTTGGAAGGCAACATTTCTTTTTCAATCGTTTCTGTCATATACTTCAAGTTTCAGTATGGTGCTGTGAAGGGGTCAAAGATCCTACCAGTTGATACAAGTTAGGTGCAAGGGTCCTGAAAGGCTGAAATCTTCCCTCTCAGAGGCCATTACACCTTGTGTTCTTGTTGTTCCTTCTTGATACCCTCCAAGGTTCTGCAGCATGCAGAAGGGAAGCCAGTTTGAACTAAGAAGTAAGAAAGAAGCAGACAATAACCAAATTCTATCAAAGAAAAAAAATTGATTTCCTACACATAATCCGAAAGTCCAAATGCCTAAACATGCTTTACTAAGGTAAACCATCAACATGTAATGTTCCAAGACTCTACTTTCAAGGAACATTTACTTCCTTATTAATTGGAAATGCATCAAGCAGTTAACACTCGGAGGGAAATTCTTCAGCACCCTGCAGTATATGGTGACGTGCATAGATGCAGGAAAACCTAGAAACAAAACATGTTCTTACTTGTAAATAGTATACCACATCTTATGAACAAAACAAATTGTGAACTGTCCTCAATCTCTCTCTTCTTTTTTTTTTTTTTTTTAGGCCATTGAACTGTCAATCTTAAACCTTCAAAGTAACAAGGATTCCACTGCCAAAGGATGTATAGAAACTTTATTGTTAACATGCAAGAAACTAATGTCATACAACAAGAATTGAACACATATTTTAACCTAAACCGCATAGAATACCAAGCAATGACCAATGAAATTGAAATCTCAAGGCAAGTTCCATCTTAATCAGCAGCTTTCTGAAATAAAGAAGCAAACTTTTTGATCAATAAGCAGTATCCACTACAAAATGAAGTATCCCAGGATTTAGCATCATAACAAATGCTACAGATGAAATTGATGCATTTAAATAGCTTCTAAAAATTGTCTTTTTGCAGTTTGTAGGCTAGTTAGATTGATTTAGTGCAGGTAGATGAATGATTAAAAAACTAAAATTTGAAGGAAATGCACAAAATTTTATTGTTAGTCACATCCTAAACCATTCCATTTCATATGACCAATGCGATTGTTTATCGGATTACCAGCTATCTAACAACCTTAGAGAGACGATAGATCTATGAAAATCCCCAAAAACAAACATCACACAGCAATAAAGGAAAATGGGTGAAATCTGGGAATAAATCCACATAGAAAGAAAATCAGAGGAGGGACGAACCTTTGAAGAATGAGAGGAACAGCAGATCGGCTCTATAACATGAAGCAGAAGAAAGGTGAGAGCTTTTCACGTGTAGGTGAAAGGAAGAACGTTAAGAAGTCTCCATTTTACGACAAAACTTGTTCATCGGCCTCCAACTTCCCAAGGCACAAATGTCGGTGAAGGTACGGAGTAATAAAACGGCATTCCCCTTTTCTTTTCTTTTTTTCTTTTTCTCAAACAGGTGTATTTCTTCTTCTTCTTTTTTTTTTTTTTTCAAACAGGTATAAATTTGAGGAGGGAGAATTCGAAACCACTGGAGGCCTACGCTGAGGGGAGCACTCAGTCTGGGCATGGTACGGTATGATAATTGTACCGTACTCAAATAATGATAATTGTTTTAAAAGGTAATGAAAAAGAGTTATTATTTTTATATTAATTGATGATTTTTTGGTAATGATTGCCAATCATTTTTAACAGTAATAAAACTTGCTTTACCAATATCATATCATATTATCATTTTTAAATTTATTTTTTTTATTATCAATTAATTCAAGTAATTCAAAATTCAATCTTAAAAGTTCAAAATTATCTTAAAAGCTTATTTTCTCCATATCGTTCTTCATCATCTTGAAGCATATAAATATATAATTATACAAAATATGCACACATCAAAAAAAAAAAAAAAAGAGAACTAGTAACAATTGAAAACTTTGTAGAATAAAAAATAAGAGGAAAAAGTTTTGAATGAGTGGTAAATTTAGTAACCATATGGTAAAAATAATAATGACTTTCAATACTAATACTGTATTACAGGTCTAAATGATATTACCATATTATCATTTAGACTTATCATATAATAATTTCGGTAAACTGGTTTGCAGCC